TCTGGCTTTAAATCTGTGATCCTGAGAGTCACCTATCTCCCTTTTGTTAAATTATCGATGAAATGCAGAGCTTGCCTTGTCTAGTAGCTGCTAGTAACTGTTGTCTCAGAGGTTACCAAAATGCTTAGTGGTGTCTTCTCAGTCTTTTTTTAAATAGTATTTTATTTTTTTCCAATTACATTTAAAGATAGTTTTCAACACTCATTTTTTAATAAGATTTTGAGTTCCAAATTTTTCTCCCTCCCTTCTCCCTAAGACAGCAAACAATCTGATACAGGTTTTACATGTTAAACATGTTTCCACATTAGTCATGTTCCAAAAGAATAAACAGAACAAAAGGGAAAAATCATGAAAAAACAAAAAAGTGAAAATAGTATGCTTTGATCTGTATTCAGACTCCATAGTTCTTTCTCTGGATATGGATAGTATTTCCCATCATGAGTCTTTTGGAATTGTCTTAGATCATTGCATTGCTCAGCAGAGCTAAATCTAATGAAGTTGGTCATCACATAGTGTTGCTGTTGCTGTGTACAATGTTCTCCTGGTTCTGCTCACTTCCCTCAGTATTCAAGTTCTTCCAGGTTTTTCTGAAATCTGCCTGCTTATAGCACAGTAGTATTTCATATACCATGACATTTTCAGCCATTCCCCAGTTGATGGGCATCCCCTCAATTTCCAATTCTTGGCTACCACAAAAAGAAGTGCTATAAATATTTTTGTACGTGTGGGTCCTTTCCCCATTTTTATGATCTCTTTGGATACAGACCTGGTAGTAGTATTGCTGGGTCACAGAGTATGCACAGATATATAGCTCTTTGTGCATAGTTACAAATTGCTCTCCAGAATGATTGGATCGGTCTTCTCAGCCTTTTGCAAAACCTGTCACTATTGACCATTCATTGTTCCTTGACAGGTTATTTTCCTATAGGAGAAGGAGGGGGATGGTGGTATCTCAGACCCTGGAAAGGTTCTGACTGCTGCTTCTTCCTCTTCCTAGCCCCGTAAGGTAAAGGGGTGCTTGTCTTCTTTGACACTCTTCAAAGCTGCATTCTCTTATATGACTTCCACAGCTGTGCCGTTCTTTGTAATATTCCACATATTTGTTTGAGGATCTCTTTTGTTTGTTCTTATCTCATCTGATCATTTCTAGCTGACTCTAAGTCAGTTTGTTAGAAACAAAACAAATGGAGTCTTCCTTTTGATAAGTTATTTCTAGTGCTGCCTCTATCATTCTTCATCCTAGTCAGCCTTGTTAAAGAGATCTTGGTACTAACTTTGACTCTTCCCTCTTCTTCACTTTCCAGACCCACTGAATTTGCAGATTTTGCCAGTTTTGCTCTTACTGTGATCTCCTGTTCTTCCCTTATTTAAGAGTCCTACTGGTATTGCCAGAGAAGAAGCCATTGTTGCTACCAGTCTGTAAGAGCTGGTCTCACCCCCTCCCAACCTCCTGTACTATCTGTCCATCCAGAGTCCAGCTGCTAGGCATGCATGATCATTATGTCACTCCTGCCCAAAATCCTTTAAAGACTTTATTGCTAACCAAATAGAATTGCTTCCAAAACTCTCCTGTCCGACATTCCCAGTACACCCCAGTTTGTGTGTTATGTGGAAGGAAGGTTTTCCTTCTCTTAGGCCCAAGTTACAATTCTTTGTAACCTCTTCTGTGCCCAGGCAGGTCTTTCATATGAGAACATTCTTCTGGTTAAACTGGTCCTTCAGCCAGTGCCTGAATGGAATGGTTTTGAGATCCTCTTCATCGTCCTAGGCATCCTTTTTCTGATGACCATATTTCAAGTATTGATGCTTTCTCTAAAATGGGATACTAAGAGTTGAACAGGACATTCCAAGTGTATGGTCTGACCGGGGCTGAGTGCACTGAGATAATTCTCTCGAATCACCTCGGACTGTGTGGTTCAATTCTAACAGACAGCTCAGGCTTTGTATAGGTGAGCATTATTCTTTCCCTCATTCTCCTTCATCTCCATTGTGTTAGGACTTCAACACACGGTTCCAGCCCTCTCCAAATGCATTTCCTTTATCCTCCTCCTTCTCCTCTGAGGCTTTGAGATCCACGTTGGCAAGGAAGAAACCACCCTCCTCCCCTCCATATCCCTTCCTCTGAAAGTACACGGGTACTCTCTGCTGTGTGATCAGACTCCCCTTCGGATCCCTGCGGTGCTGTATATGAAGGTCTTAGGAAGCAGTTAATGAATTACTAGTTTATTAAAGTGAAGTTTGATACTTTATCTTTATTCTAGATTTTATTATCCTTTTGAACTGCTGTCTCCTTTCTTAGTAGTAGGCATCTGACAGGTTTAGAGAAGCTCTTTATGCTTCTTAAATTTTATTGATTCCTCTCGCCTTACATCGCAGTCATTTCCTGGATAGAACTTCTTCCCCTCTCTTCTCTCTGCTCTCCCCCCCCCCCAGCTCTGAAACTTTCCTTGTAACAAATTAAGCCCAGCTGGCCCAGTGCCTGTGTCCTTTGTTGATTGCTGTGTGTTCTGCCTTGTAAGAACCTTCCCCTCTTTCCTGAGGGCAGAGGTTTGTCATTATGTTATTGTTTCTCCTGGCCTGTTACTGGTTTTTCAGTTATTTAGGATTTGGCTTCCTTTTAGCAGTCTTTTTATTATTGTGGGCGTTTGTTTATTTGCTGATTTTACTTTGCGTCAGTTTGTACAGATCTGCCACATTCCTCTGACTTCCTCACTTATCACTTCTTGCTGCACAGTAATATTTTGTTACCTGTTCTGTGGTTGTTGGACCTATCCCCAGTATCTGAGTGCCTACTTTGTTTCTGGATGTTGACTATCACGCGAAGTGTTGCTCTGAATATTTTAGCCTGGGCAGGGTGGTGTTCCCAGGTATGGAGTTCTCGTAGAATTTACTCCTTGTTTGCCAGGATGTAGGGGCCCAATCACAGCGCCACCAATTGTGAGTGTACTCACACAGCTGTCCCTCTCATAGCCCCGCAGATCCTGATGGTGTTCGTTTTTCTGCAGTTTGTAGGGTTTGAGGGAACTGCTCAAACTTGTTTTTCCCTTGTGCTTCTTAGCAATGTAGAGCTAGTTTTTGTGTGAAAGTTGCTAATTTACAGTTTTTTGGAAAGCTTTCCCTGTCTTAAAACCATTTGACTAATGGAAATAGTTCTAGGCTTTACGGATATGTTGATTCAAGCAATCAGCAAGCATTTAGTAAGCACTTACTATGTGCCAGGCCCCAGAGATGAGTGCTATGAGTGGTTTTAATTCCTCCTCTCACATAAATAAACGTGTGGGATGGAAAGAGAACACAAAGAAAATATGTGAACACAAGGGAGTTGAGGGCATGAGTAACCCTTCCTAAAAGTGGTGTTTACAGAAAGGACCTCGGTTCTGAGATGAGGAAGGAGTGAGTTCTGGCCATGGGGGATGACCGTTTCAAAGGAACATAAACTGGAGATGAAGTGCCCTATGTGAGAAACAGAGAAGGTGGCCAGTTGGGCTGTGCTGCTGAGAGACGTCCAGGAGGCTGAAAGGAGAGATTAAGGCCAGGCTGTGAAGGGCTTGAAAATAGAAGAGCGAGTAGTTGTCCTGAAGGGCATAGGGAGCCCCTGGAGTTCAAGTAGGGACTGACTGACATGGGCAGATTTGTGCTTGGCAGGGACGCCACTGACGTAGTGAGAGTCTGAGGCCCAGACCTAAGGTGGTGGTGGTACAGTGTGAGGAGGGAGAAGGAGTAGAAAGAGCTGAGATGTGGAAGGAGAAATGGCAAGATTGGCAACTGAATTTCTCCTGTAGCTAAGATGTCAGAATCTCTTGAAATTTGACACAAATGTTTTCCTTATCAGAGAAATTTCTTTTATTTTGTCTGCCATTATTTTCTTTGTACAAAAGCTTTTTACAAAATCTTTGTAATAAAAATGGTCTGTTTTGTCTTATTATCACCACTCAGGCTTAGGAAGGTGTTTTAAAGGGAAGAAAAGCATTAAGAATTTTTTCTCCATTAAACTTGTCCAGGTCTTTTTTGGTATATTCCATTATAAACATCTTCAGGACAAATTTTTTTTTGTTTGAGTAGTAGTCTAGTTTATTTTTTTTCAATTTTTAAAAAACATTTTTATTTAAAGTTTTGAGTTTCAAATTCTAGCCTTCCCTTTCTTCTCCTCCCCCTTCCCTCTCTTGCTCTTTTCCCCCTCCATGAGACGGTAGGCAGATATAGGTTATATATGTGCAGTTATGTAAAACATTTCCATATTAGTCATTTTGCACAAGAAGGCTTGTATAAAAGAAAAAGTGAAAAATGGCATGCTTCAGTCTGTATGCAGTCAATATCAGTTCTTTCTCTAAAGGTGGTTCATATGCGTCATCATTAGTCCTTTGGGATTGTCTTGGATCATGGTATTGCTGAGAAGAGCTAAGTCATTCACAGTTCTTTATCGGATAGTATTGCTGTTTCTGTGTACAGTGTTCTCCTGGATCTGTTCACTGAGCATCATTTCTTAGAGCACAATAATATCCCATTACAATCATATACCACAGTTTGTTTAGCCATTCCCCAGTTGATGGGCATCTGTTTGATTTCCAATTCTGAGTCACCACAAAAAGAGCTGCGACAAATATTTTTGTGCAAATAGGTCCTTTTCCCTTTTTTTGGATGCCCTTGGGATACAGACGTAGCAGTGGTATTGCTGGATCAAAGGGGATACACAGTTTTATAGCCCTTTGGGCATAGTTCCAGATTGCTCTCCGTAATGGTTGGATCAGTTCACAACTCCACCAACAATACATTAGTGTCCCAGTTTTCCCACATGCCTCCAACATCTAACACTTTCCTTTTTTGTCTTATTAGCCACTCTGATAGGTGTGAAGTGGTACCTCAAAGTTGTTTTCATCTGCATTTCTATGATCAATAGGATTTAGAGTAAGAAATATTTCTTTTAATGTAGATACTGCCTTTACTAACAGGAGAGGGCATTGGAATACTTGGAGAGACTAACTTAATATTTGTATTTACAGGTTACATGTCTTGCATGTGATAATAAATCAAATACAGTCGAACCTTTCTGGGACCTCTCACTGGAATTTCCGGAAAGATACCACTGTAATGGAAAAGAAATGGCTACCCAGTATCCCTGCTTGGTTACAGAAATGTTGGCCAAGTTCACAGAAACTGAAGCTTTAGAAGGAAAAATTTATGTGTGTGACCAGTGTAACAGTGAGTAAAGACAGTATGTAATTTTAGATGTGTTTTGTCTTGAAAAGGTTTCAATATTGCAAAGAAACACAAGGGAGAAGGGGAGAGTTTCACCAATTACTCTAAGGATTGTCTTTATTGAGGGAATATGGTATTCTGGGATAAGCAGTACCCATGTAATCCATGGTCCCTGGGATGACCGCTGGGGGCAGTCTGCACAGCAGCCTGCCTGTTGCCTTTGACCGTGTCCTGCCTGTACCTCTCTCCCCTACTTCAGATAACACAGAGAGCTTAGGCTGGGGAGCATGAGAGTGGGGAGATGGGGAAATGAGGGCAGTCAGAGGACGTGTGTGTGTGTGTGTGTGTGTGTGTGTGTGTGTGTGTGTGTGTGTGTGTGTGTGTGTGTGTATGTATGTAGTGACCCTGTCCCAATGCATGTGCTGCAGAGGGTGGATTACTTACTTGCTGCTGCTGCTGCTGGGTGGATCTGGGTGCAGTGAGGACCCACCTAAGGATGAGGTCAAGAATTCCTGTTAAGGAACAGCAGTATTCTTCACTCATCAGTAGCCCAGTCAATCGAGAGAGCATTTTACTTGGTTGCCCTTGATAAAATTGACCCGTATTTATGTGGTGATTGGCCTGGCGTTGGGGCTGGTTCTGTTTCTCCACTGAAAACAAGGTTTCATTTCTGTCTTACAAAGATGATTCTAAGGATTTGGATACTAACTTGGAGGGGGGCAGGTGCTTATCACCAAGCTCCTTTTAATTAGACATATCTTTCTGAATCGAAGATACCATGTCAGCTGTTGTCTACAAAAATACTAAAACTTTAGCCATTCCTAGAATTATCATTTGATTTTTGGGTCCCATTTTTTAAATAATCCAAGTTTTTAATCCCATGTGGTCTAATGAGTAGCTAAAAAGAAAGGAGTTAAGAAATCTTGGCCTTCTGGAAAATTTTCTGTTTGGTGATTTTTTTTTTCCCTCCCTTAGTAGATAGTAGATTAGAACCTGTTACTGGAAGGGTGATAAGAGGCTCCAAACCGATAGCTCTCAAGAGGGGAAGCAGCCTTTGTGCCGTATTGAAAAAGCAGAATTATAGAAGGAAAATTTTATTGCAAGAGTACCAGGATTACCAGGTGCTAGTGATGGACTTGAATGTACAGAATGGTTCTAAATCGGCAAGGCTGTAGATACAGGAGTGGGGAATCCGTGGCCTCAAGGCCACGTAGGGTCCTCTGGGTCTTGAAGTAAGGCACTTTGAATCCAAACTTCACAGAACAAATCCCCTCCATAAAAGAATTTGTTCTTGGACTCAGTCAGAAGGCCACACCCAAGGACCTAAAGGCCTGAAGCATCAGCTTCCCCACCCCAGATTTAGAAACCTTGCTCTCAGTTTGGAGAAGACTTCATCAAAACTGTTTTCTCATGGGTAGGTAAAGTGTTTCCTCCTCCTCTGCAGTCTCTTTGCACCATTCATTTGCTCAGAGCACCCTCTTTTTTAAACAGTTGTAAAAAGTTAAATTTTAGTTCAGTTCCTAAATTAATAGGTTTATTGAGATTTTTTAATTATTAATTTTCTTGAATTAGTCTTTCTTTACCTTAGTCTGAAATTGAAATTGGGTTTCGTTATACTTTTTCCGTTAAAGCAAAGCGCAGGAAATTTTCTTCAAAACCAGTTATACTCACAGAGGCCCAGAAACAGCTTATGGTGTGTCGGCTGCCTCAGGTTCTGAGACTACACCTTAAACGATTCAGGTTTGTATCAGACATGGCTGTTTATCAACTCTGCACATTTTTGATTTTTAACTTACTGAATGTAATCAGCCTTATATCTTAGAATTAATCCATTTAATGAGAGTTTGCATTGAACTGTTCTTAGAGAAGTTTGAGAGCCTTTGTGGTCAGTCTTGCCGGGGGTTGCTACGGGATCTGTCTTTTAAGCTGCTTTTGTTTTAAAAAAAAAATCTTCACAACAAACGCAGTGCTTCCAGAATTTCTGCTTGGGAGTTTTTAAAAAGTCAAATATCCTTTAAAATATGATAATTTTTCTCAATCTACCTCTTTTTTCCTTAACGCATGGCCTTTCTGCATAGTAGAAACTTAATAGGGGTTTGCTTTAATAAGAAGGTACAGGAGATTCAGAACTATTTTTTAAAAAGAACTGAACACAAGTCATCCGAAGTGTCAGTGGCAGGTTGAGATTGAGTGCTTCTTATAATCCATGTTAACCAGATTGTAGTTATTGGCTTATGGTTCTTCACTCAGATGTTAATATTATTGGTTAATCCAGCTAATGTGTGTATAGACAACTCTGGCCATTGTGCTCATTAAGTAAATTTAACACGTTTATTGTGCTTGGCCCACACTGATAAATTGTGTTTACTCTTGGGAAATTTGTTCTTGACATGGTCATCTATCGGTTTCCCTGCTCAAACCTATAGTGGCTCGTTTTTATCTAACAGATCAAATCTTAACCCCTCGATTTAACATTAGGGGCAAAGAGTGCTTTCTTCCCCCCAAATGTTTTTCACACTTGGCTAATAATCCAGCCCAACTGTGTCTCTCCAGCCTTGGTCAAACCAGGCTTGTGTGTCTCCCCAAGTCTGTGACGTTCCCTTTCCTCATTCTAAGCCTTTGCTTATGCTATCCCAGTGGATTCCTTCCCACTTACCCAAATGCCCACCCTTCAAGCCCAAAACCTCAAGTTGTTAACATTCTGTGAGTGTCGCTTTCTCTGGTGACTGTAGCCCGTGTTGATCTCTCTTCCCCTTCTCGTTCATCCTTGATGATATCTGCTGCATAGTTTGACTTTTTTTTTTATTATAAGCTGTCTTGTTTTCATTGTTTCATTTGTGTATGCAACATTTCCAACTAGACTAAGTGTTTTTGAAGGTGGATACAGCTAGTGGCACCACAGCACAGAGTGATGGGCTTGGAGTCAGGAAGGACCTGAGTTCAGATGTGACCACAGGAACTTACAGGGTCACTAATATGACCCAGCGCAAGTTGAGGAAACTGTAAAGTGAGGGTAATCATAGCATCTACCTCCCAGGCTTGTGAGGATTGAACGAGATAATTATCACTGTGCCAGGCTCAAACCAGAGGCTTGTTCTTTCCCTTCCCCTCTTACACTTTGCTTGTATCCTCTCCTCACTCTTCCGACACACCTAGCTCAAAGGGAACTGTTAAATAATTTGATTAGCACAAGGTACAGTCAGCTGAGGCCATCATTTATAGCCATGAGTTAAGACTCATGCTGAGAAATTGTCATTGTCCTCCTGACTTTATCGAATTTGAAGAACTGATCCTTTTCATTAGGAGTTGACCTTGTGATCTTGAAGGAAAGGGTCCCCTCCCCCCTCCCCATGACCTACTTCTGGAGTAGCTTACCCCAGGGTTCCCCCACACCTTTGGGAATTCTCTGTATCCTAAGAGAAGCTGAAGCCCCCTATTCCTCCAAATCTGTTATCTTCATCTAGGCTCTAATGGTTCTTTCCCAGGAAGAACCTCCCCCTACTCTTGGAATACCATTCCTATGCTAATACAAGTGACATAAGACTTAGGATAACATAGAGGGAGATATCTGTGTGCTGGTGTCATTTCTTTGTCTTCTCAATATAAGTATTTTTCCTGAATTCTCAACCAGTTAAAATGGGGAGTTTAGAGCCCTGTGGGACCTTAGAAGTCACTTAGTTTTACCTCAATTTACAGATGGAGAAACTAAGGACCAGAGACATAAACTGACCACCTGCAGTCACATTAGAATTTATACTCAGGTTTTTTAGTCTGCATGTAGCATCTCGTAATGACCTAAATTCAGTTTCCCCAGAAGAACCATGAGGCCTTGCATCCCATAGATAGAATAAGATACATTGGGGCAGAAGGGATGTTACACTGGGCAGGAAGCTGTGTGACCATCTGTTCCAGGAACCTCTCTGACTGTGCAGAGCACAGCACAGTCAGAGGGCAGGTGACCACAGAGCCAAATTCATAGGAAAGGAAACAGGCCTGCCACTAGGGTTGAATCACCTTGTTCTCATCCAGCCAGACTGGAGGAAGGGATAGATCATTCGGCTTTGCTGCCTCTCTGTGGGCAGAGGAATGTTTGCCTGATAACTTGTCTGCTAACCTGGCTTTTCTTTAGAAAGAAATTGATTGATGCTTTTTTTTTTTAAATATCATTGACCTTTCCCAGTGTTCTCCCCAGTTAAGTGAAAACAACCAACATGGAAACAGGGAATTGACACCTTTCCATACTTTGCATCCCTTTCTCCGTAGGGGAAGACAGCGGCTTGGTTTTCCACTGGAATCAATCTGAGTTCATCTGCTTGTTGGTGGTGTTTTTTGTGTACTTTGGAGTCAGGGAGTACTCTATCATGTCCCGGTTCTTTCTCCTCTCTGCATCAGGTCCTTCTAAGACTTCCTGGTTCTTTCTAGAGTTTTTATGCTCCCCATTTCTTTGGGTGCAATAATACTCAATTATATCTACATACCACAGTTGTTGAGCTGTTCCACCCACTTCGTCATGTTCTATGAACTTTTTGGTGCATATTGAACCTTTTGTGTGTTTCTGTCTCTTTGGGGCATATAGATGGTAGTGGGATTATCGGATCAAAGGGTATGAATAGTTTATAGTCATTTTTCTCGCATAATTATTTCCCAGGACCAATAGTGCATTCGTGTGTCCCTTTTCTCAGCCCCCTCCCTTCAAACATTTCTTTCTTGGTGGCTGGTGAAAATCAGTTGTCTTGAATATTTTCTTCTTAATAGTTTAGTAGTTTTTTAGTTCAGTAGTGACTTACAGAGTATTTTTTCATGTGGTAGTTTTATAGGATGCAGTTCCTTTTGAAAACTGTCCCTGTCATTTTGACCACTAATTTATTGAGGAAAACTCTTGGTCTTCCGTATTTGTGTCAGTTCCCTGTACTGATTCTCCGGTTAAGGGGAGAATTGTAACCAGACAAGGTTTGGAAGAGAGCGCAAAAGATGTTTGAATTTACATAATTTAGAAGTGTTTGCATGAACAAAATCAGTGCATGCAGAATAAAAAAAAGTGGTGGAGCGAGGACAGCCTTGATAGCGGTGATCTCCAATAAAAGTCCTGATAGCCATGGCTTTAGATGAGCGTTGCATGACCGAGCCTTCCCCGAGAACTGATTGGCCTGAGGAAATTCTGGTTGGTCAATATTGTCGTTACTGAGCTGTAGCATACTGAGGAAACCATTTATAGGGATAGTATTCTACTCAGTACGACTTTGACAAGAAGTTTAGCATGTTTTGTTTCTAATTTTTTTTCCAGGTGGTCAGGGCGTAATCACAGAGAGAAAATAGGAGTACACGTCGGTTTTGATGAAATTCTGAACATGGAGCCCTACTGCTACCGAGAGTCTTTGAAGTCCCTCAGACCAGACTGCTTCCTGTACGATTTGTCTGCTGTTGTCATGCATCATGGGAAAGGGTTTGGCTCAGGACACTATACTGCATACTGCTATAACTCTGAAGGAGGTATGGATGGAAAACATTTTTTCTTAATAGAGCTTTGTTTGGGGAATAGATGAAAGCATTTGGTAAAAAGGTTTAGAAATATTCTAAGTCCAAATATAAAAACCCTCATATAAGCTAAATTTGGCTTACTCCCTCTGGTACTGTTACCTTTGGTAGGTAAAACAGCATCAGAACTTGCAGTCAGATGAATAAATACTAGAACTGGGCTGGCCTAGATCATCAGACCCAAACCAACCCTTTATTTTACAGAAGAAGAAATAGCATTCCTTTTAAATAGTGGTCATTTCCATGGATTATTGGCAGTTTAGAGTCTCCCCAGATTGTAACAATAGATAATAGGAATAACCTGGATAATTAAAAGCCAGAAATGGGAATGCCAGATTTCAGAAGACAAAGGGGCAGATTTGGATTTGGGCATTTGTTAGTTAAATTATTCCCTTTCTTAAATGAAAGGAGGATGGGGAGGGGGTAAGTAGTTGGCCTGTTTCCTTTGAATTGTCTGGTCAGCAAAGTTAATCCCCCAACTTTTTCAGTTAGTAGCAGAAGTCACTTTTTGCAGTTGTAACTAGACCTTGCCCCTTCTACTGCTGCTTCCAGAAAGCAAATGGCATTGGGTAAAAGACCCTAGATCATCCATAAAGTGCCCTGATTTATCAAGAGTTGGCTAGGTGCTCTTGGTGAGCTCAGTTAAATGAAAAACAAAGAATAGACTTTGATTAGAGGGTTCATATCTTGTGTAATAAAGCAGAGTGTAAGATAAAATCACTTCTAATCAGTGTTTCATTACTGAGGCTACAAACTTTCTTTTTAATTAAAGGTAGATAAAGTATTAGAATAGTAAGCTTATTCAATATTTGAGCATATTCTTAAGCAAATATTAAAATTTTAGTGTCAGTGCAACAAATGTTTAGTCATGCTGAAAAACCTCTTGCTTAGAGAAAAAAAGTTGCTTTTTTTGGGTTTTCTGTGTCATGTACCTCAGTTTTAATTATCTCCCTAACTTTTTAGGATTCTGGGTACACTGCAATGATTCCAAGCTTAACATGTGCACTCTGGAAGAAGTGTGTAAGGCCCAGGCTTACATCTTATTTTATACCCAGCGAGCTCCCCAGGAGGATGGACATTCTAGACTCTTAGCTCCCAGCCCTCCTCTGAGTGCCCAGAGCTGATCCAGAGACAGGGACTGACTGGTGGCTTGGGGTGCTAGGCTTTGAATCCGGCTGAGGTAGGGGGTTTGTTTTGTACTTTCTCTTGTGAATCAGTGTACACTATGTTTATATATTTTGTATCGAGCAAGACAAAGCATTCTTTTTACAGAAACAAAGTCGGTATAAATTAACACTTGTATATTGACAGTAGGTAACTTTTAAACATTTTTTAGTACCTGGAGTTTTCTTATACAGCTGGTTTGGTTTTATTGTTGTTGTTTTTTTAAAGAGAAGAGTCTTTAAATTTTTAATGTTTACCTCAGACTGGTGTTCATTCTTTTTTTATCTTTTTTTTTTAAATCATGGATTTTTATGAGACTGTCACTAAAATTCTGGTTATACCATTTTATGTATATTTGTTATTGCATGCCTTCTTAAAGGCTGTTCCTGCAGGGCTAATTCTTTTAGGTAATTAAGATAGACCATTTCACCAAAAAAAAAAAAGGGTTTCTTTTAGGCCAGGTATATATTATTGAGCACTGCCATGTGCGAGACCCTGGGGGATACAAAGACAGGCTGTTTTTGGCCTTAGTCACTTGGAGAATTAAACCCTTATCACAGATAAATCAGTGGTTGGCTTCACCACTGAGAACAACTTGTTTTCAGAAGAGCTGCTTTTTGGTTATATTCTAAACAGAGCCAATAAAGTGACTGCAGGGCCAAGTTCTGATAGACCTGGCCAGGTAGGAATGTTTTGTTTTGTTTTGAAATACTAGAGCAAAGGAAAATTGTTCTTTACTGGGCATACTCAAAATCTGTCCAAATGAAAACAGGCAGCTTATAATCTTTGTATATGTAATTGAGCTTAGTATTGTGGGTGTAGGGAAAAATAGAGAAGGATGGCAGCGATAATGGGGAGGACTACTTATTTGTACAGAATCTACATAAATCTGTCCAAGTTCCAATAAAGCAGACTGTTCCTGCACCCAGAAAATGTGAATTTAGTGGCCATCATGCAGAGATCATAAGACAAAGCCTAAATAGTTTAAACTAATTGTAAGTCTCCAAAGGTCCTAGCCATTTCTTGCTTGGAAAGGTTAGATCTCCTAAGGAAGCTTGGTGTAGAGTATTTTTAGCTCAGATGAATAAGAATGGGAAGTTTTAAAGAGGGAGTCGCTTAGGACATGAGTTGAAAGAATGATTCAATAGATACATGTGAGAATCAGTGTGTTATCATGCTTTGCATTTTTCCTAGTGACAGAGGAGTGGATTGTTTATACTCTTGTTCTGAGTATCTCAAGTGGGGGTTGTATAGGACAAGCTACCCAAATAGCGTAAGCCCTAATATGATGCAAGTTCTATACCTTTTGTTTTAAGGGGCCTAAACCAGTTAGTTAAACCTGTACTTAACTTTCCTGGTACTTTGAGGGTGGGCTCGTTTCATGAGCAAGTTAAGGATGAATGACTTAGGCCAGCTATCTTCTGTCTTGAAATTAATATACACCATGTTTTTTCTTTCAAAAGCCTAATTTTGCTGCCTCTTGAGGAATGGGGAAAATGTGACCTAGCCTAGTGTTAAACCTTACCTACAGTTGCTCTCTTTTGGGAGTGCTAGCCTTAAGCACAGGAGGAAGCTGAGATACCCTCCCCACCTAACTACCACTACACTGTTAAGATGTTGTTAATATGCCTTCAACATTTCTCAAAAATTAATCACAAATGGGGAGAAATAACACTGAAAAATTCAAATTCAGAAATGGAGTTGGGGGCAGTAGTGATATTTAACTCAACTCTGTTGCAGTGAGAATTTACCACTGAACAAACAGAAGATTTGTGCCAAAATACAACTTGAGTATTAGCTGAATACTAGGGTTTGAAATTGTTTCATAAAAACCTATGCAAGTTGTTACCTCAACTGTTAGATAATTATACCTCAATAAAACTTAATGTGGGCAATATTGAGTGTTGTGTTTTTGTCACTGATAAAGGGAGGTTATGGTGCCGAACAGTATTATCTTCATAACCCAACAGCTGCACCATATGATAAACTTCCAGGTGTCATCTGTTCCCTAGCAAATCCAGGAGGTGTTTCCTTGTAAGGGAGATCTTGGCTTGTTCACTGGCAGTTCGGAACACCTGTAGTTACCTCTGTGCTGTGAATAAGACTTACGTGTTTTGTAACCAGAAGTACTTCAGGAGGTTTCTGTTTTTTTTCCATCTTTGAACTTTCAGGGAGAAAAAAAAAATACAAATTGTACTAGTCCTAAGAAGGAGGTAATTTTTTTTTTGGGGGGGGTACATAAGCTCTATGCAGCAGGGATCTGTTTCAATGACTGTTTGGTGTGAAAGTGATAACTTTTCCTGAAAGTAAGTACTTCTATTTGACCAATCACAGTAGGCAAATAGGTCCAGTATTAACTACACAGATCTAACAAAAAAGCAACATTTTTTTGATTGTAAAGTAATTTACTAAAGGCACTATTGTTTAAACATCAAACTAATCATCTGTTATCCAGTAAGGTACATCATCATTATTTTAACATGACAAAATGATTCCAAGAGATACATGGATGGATAGTAGGTAGTTAAACACTTCTTAAATCCACAGCCTCCCTACTTAAGCCAATCCCAGCTTTAATACAATGATGCTGTGTTACCCAGTCACCTTGGAGAGGAGCTTATGTACAATTGGTCCAGGAAATCTCTATTACTACTAGGATCACATCAAGCTCCAGCATTATAAAGTGATCTAGTATTGATAACAAAATATTTGCAATTAAACATAATTCTATGTGGTGGTGAGTTTGTTTCCATTATATAGAGCGTGCTTTTTTGTTCTCAAAGTTTCCCTCGCAAAGGAGGAAGTAGCTTTCTATTCACCACCCAGAGCCGGGGGGTGGGGGGGTGGAGATCTGCTCCTGAGGTGGCAGCAACATTCATTCTTTAGAGAGGCTGCTTGTTTAAGCTTGAGAGACGACCAACCTCTCCCACTGAGGAAGTCATAGGTTTCTTTGTATGAGAGAACAGGGTGGTGATGGTGAACAAGAATAACAGAAACTAAACTGATATCCCACAGGCAATCACATTGTGGACTGATGATAACAGTATGGGAGCATACTTAAAGAAAGCATGCCCATTGTTAAGGCTTTACCCTGGTACAAAATATCAAGCCAAAAAATTCATTACAGTTTTAAAGTTGTTTTGGGACTGTCCCAACTGAGTATTTACAAGTAAGAAAAATTGGGATTTTCCTTTAAAAACATAGCAGTCTCAGATCAAACCCAAGTAAATATGACCGTTCGCACTGAAATTTTGGAGGGATTTGCATACTTCGACATCACATTTCATGTAACAGCATTGCAAACTCATCCCCCCTAAGTCCCTGATGTTGGTTTGATTTGAGATGCTACTAACCTCACCCCATCAAATTGGCTCATTCTATCAAAGAGCATAGTGACTACAATTTTAATTGTTCTATTCTGAACAGTAATTCAACCTAGAAACTTCCCCTGCTTTCATACTTTATGATTCTTCAACCTCAAAAGGCTTCTTTTCCAGGTACTTCTTCTGCTAGGAAAGCTGAAGAGGTTTTTTTCCCCCCAGTGTGGATACAATCAGGAAAACGGTTCCATTTCAGGAAGTCAGGATTAGAGGTTGGCAGAATGCTTGAAAAAGTTAATGTATCTTTCCATCGATTGGAGAAAAGGAGAATTAACAGGGTCCTAGAAAGGAAATGAAGAATTCTCGAAGACCAACGCCTGCGACTGTTGGGTATCCATTAGGATGAAAACAGGAGCCAGTTGCTTGGTGCACTGCTGAGGTGGATAGAGCCACTGCACAAGCAGGAGGAAATCTACATTCCAGATTATCATAAAAAGACATGGGTTCTCTTATATTAAATACAGCCAGCTCTTGCCCAGAATTAGAACCACAAACATTGAAATGTATCTCTTAGGATCTGAAAATCTGTCTTTATTTTTTACAAAATTGAATCCAGGAAATTTAAAAGGCAATATACCAGAGGGCTTAAGTGTAGTAGAATTGGGTGGGTCATTCAAAGCATTCAAGGAATATAGTAATATAAATATCTGAAAAGCATCTTTTATAGTAAATGTTCAAAACAAAATGTATGTAACTCATTCCAAACTAAAAATTGAGCTTCATATAGCATCTTTTCCTGAACAGAAAATATTGAACAGTTTAAACATTTGTGAAATCTCTCTAAAGCCCCAAAAGCTTTTTTCCTTGGTTACATTAGAAGACTTGCCTTTGACTGAATTTCTTCCTTTTCACACATTGGAAAGTATTAGAGAGGTCCACTGTTAAAAACAGACATATGTTGCAAATTAATTCTGGTATAATGTATTCCAACAAAGCCTAGCTAAAGCTGCTGAGGTGGCCTCAGGTTCTAGTTAATAGTCATCTCCTCTGCTGACAACTTCTTTACATGTCGGGCGTAAGAGGATGGTGTGCTCAAATTGTGCTGTGTAGGAGCCTTTGATGTCACACAAGGGGGGGTAGGGGTCCACAATGCCCAAGTCACACAGATTCTTGAGAGCCATTAGGTATTTACTTTCTCCTAGGCGATCTAGCCACCTTCGGCAGAAGGCCAGAGTGCCAAAGTTTTCATTGATGACATTTAACAAGTGTTTTGCTCTTGGAAGTCTGAAAAGCAAAGAGATCCAAACCAATTTATGATCTGACAGTCAAGGAATAAGCATTACAATATCTAAACTAGTTAGCCCAAATCAAGAATGCAAAAATGCTAACTTGGAAAGAAGACACTTTCCTTCCAGGCAAACTCTTCTCTTACTACTTCTAAACTGTCTACAAAGTCAGTGGCTTCAATGGCCTTTTCTGAATCCTCCTCCTCCAATTCTCTGAAGCCTGTGATTCCTGTCTCATCAGCTCTCCCTCAATCACCAGGACCGAACAAATAAATGCCTTTTCTTCTGCACATAAAACACATGCACACCCTCAACCCTCAAAGTCTTCCTTAATTCCACAGTCAACCTACACATTCCACTTATTATCAAGTAGCTTTCTTTCTAATGAGTTCCACTCCGATACATCCTGTGACTCAGCCGTGACACTGATTTTTCTACAACACACCACCACCCCCATCCCCACCCTCGAGATCAATTTAAAAACCCATTTGCACACAACGATCATCTTCACGCCAAACCTCCTGTTCCAAGTGCTTACTAACTGACTAAACAATGGACAAGCAGTAAATCTTAGAAGTTTTAAAAGGCCAAACAAACATGAAGCAATAGTTTGAAACAGCTCTCTGGGTATAAGGTATACAGCCCTATACTATGCAGAAGCACAGAAAAAAGTGTAGAAGTTTCCACAGGTGGAACACAACAAGTATTTATTTGCTGAAAGTAATTACGAAAGTACACATGTATATATATGCTATTACTATTATTATGCACTGAGTGAAATAGACATGTGGGGGGGTAGGGGGCTTCTCACCTTATTGGCACGTGTCCAACATCAAAATTTTTCATATAATGTGAACATTCCATATCGTCATGCACCACACCTTTTCCTGTACTACCAAAGGTTTCTATGGCGTATACTTCACCTTCCTTAGGGAAACAAAACAAATGCAGGTAAATGAGGAAGAAAAATATTTATTTACAGTGAGGGTGGTTGGTTTTGTTTTGTTTGTTTTTTTTTTTTGGTAAAGTTCCACTGCTAAGGGAACTGATTCATATTTAACAACTGCTTCCTAAAACAAATGAAGTCACACTGGACTGACATCTATGAGATGGCAAAAAAAAAATGCTGGAGGTTGAGAAAAAAATAAGTACATTAATGCACTGTAATTGAACTTGAACTGTCTAGCCATCTTTTAACTAACAATACCACTTAACCATGTTGGTACTACGAAGGAAAGGGATGTTCTTGTGGTGGGGGACATTCAGCCATTCCTGGGAATGGCTGAACAAGTGATGATCTGTGTCTTCTCTTCCTGAAGATCTTCATTTGAAAATAAACTTCATTTTTTTTGCAGGACAGATGAGTAGTTGTCTTTTTTTGGTTAGATCACTAGTGAGGCCTGGTGCAAAGAGTGCCAAGCTGTGTCTTCTCAGCCACTGACTGGCTGGCCATCCTACTTAGCTTATTCTGCTCCACCACCCTGGACCCACAACACAGAATTGGTTCGCGAACTTCCGTGTGATCCCAGTCACCTACCTCCATCCTCGTTGCTTCTCCTCCTTTCACAATGGGCACCGTTTTCCCGGCATGTATTCTGTAGGGCCCAATTGAATGTCCATTAAGATTTCGAATGGGTTTCACTATGGTAAACAGAAAAAGAACATGATTAGTCCATTATGAACTGTAGAGGGAGAGGTGACACATGGAGCTTTATGGGGTATTTTGCTCAAGAGGAATCATGTTCCACTGACAAGGATATATTAAGAGGAACAAACGCAGTGTGCCTTCAGATGGAGGATTATGATCTAGCCTCCAGAAAGCCTACTCTTGTGCCTGGCTCCTGGAGAAACGTCTATGTCAACATGTACCATCATCACACCATGCCAGACAGTGATCAAAATGCAAAGCCATTCACGCAGGCACCAAGATCTTTCCATTTAAGCACCCCAAGACAGAAACAAATACAATTATAACTCTAGATACAATCCCTTCAGCACATGCCCTCTAACAGGAATTTTTAGCCTTTTTGGAGAGCCACACTACTATTCACAGAGCCACTCTGTCCTGCTTTAAAATATCATCACAAAGGCAAAAATCAATCGACAAAAAGCTTATTTTATCCCCAAAGAACCTGACTGGGAGACACTATATATGTGGCGGCAGCACTTTGTTGGAAGTCCCCAATAATCCCACCATCCGGGGCCTGACAGAGAACATCCCAAGATGCATTTTTTTCCTGTGTTCTCCATCACTGCACCCCATGAAACTCAGAAGAAAAAAACTTGAGCGAGGTA